TATGATACAGACATGCCAGAATTGTGTTGCCATTTATGAAAACAATTCATTTCCAATTCTACTAAAGGTAGTCACAGGTCCCTCACCTCACAGAGCTACTCTGTCTTCTCAATATTTGTAACAACAGCTTAGATTTACAGTAACTCCTTTCTGTTGTACATTTTCATGTAAGTTTCAGTCCAGTCCATTTCATATTCACAGTATTTCAGTGTGATATGCAAAGTGAGTAGTATTAATGCTGTTTTAGTTTTTTTCTTGGTTCTACTTTGTTCTATAACAGCAGGAGTATGAGACCCAGAGAGGTTAAGCAACTTGCCCAGGGGTCACATAGCTGCTCAGTAGCCAGTTGGAAGGAACACTTAGTCCCGTGAGCTTCCCTTCACATCGGTGCTCCTCAGGCTGTAGCATGCATATGAATCACTGGGGATCTGATTACAATGCATTTCTGAATTCAGTGTGTCTGGGGGAAACTAGGATTCTTCATGTCTAACAAGCTCCCAGGAATTGCTGTTACTGGTAGAATATCCTTCTCCATACCCTCATAACACCCCAAGCATGTCCCTCCTGATACTTCCTCAAATGCAGTTGTATCATTTGGGTAGTCATTCATTCCCCCCACCCCCAACTAGATTGTGAACTCCACAAGAGCAGGAACTATGGTTTGTTCACTATTTTAATCTGATTGTCCAGCACCATGCCTGGCAAAAAGGAACTGAACGAATATTTTTTGAGGAATGAAGGAAAAGCAACCTATTTTCAATTACAAAGCCACAACACTTGAATATTAAGACTCTCATTGCTTATTGAAAAAGAGCATTTATCAAGTATCATTTGTTGTCTTAAGTCATATTATAATATCATTGCCAGGTCCCCAAATAACATAACCAGAAGAAGCTTTGCAGGGTCATCCAATTTAGACCTACAGATGTCTCACAGAACTAAGGTGGGGTCCAATGCAATAGAATCACACTTTGGGGCCAATAGAATGGGTGACTGTGAGGCCATCCTAAGGGTAAGGGGGGAGTATAGAGCAAGCAGGGCGATCGAGGCTCAATAACACTTCACACACAGCATGAAAGGAGTCGCCTCGCCTCTGCTTCCACCCAAGGATGCTGACAACACCAATCCCCCATGGGTTGCAGGTTTTCCAAATGCCAAGAGCTGTGCTAAGCACTCTACACAGATCATCTCATTTTTATCCTCTCTACACACCTGTGACATAGGCACTTGTTTCATAGGTATGAAAGCAGAGACATAGGGCTATCTACACTAATAAAAGAGAAACATGGTAATTGGCGTACGACCGCTACCCTTTTCATTGGCTAATCAGTGAGTATATGCAAATTAACTGTCAGCCAAGATGGCAGCCGGCAGCCAGGCACTGAAGCGAGCAGGGAGGCTTGCTTGCTGCAGATTCCAACGTTCGCCGCCTCACTTGCCAGCCTCTCAGCTGCAACTCTAAGCAACTATATACTATGTTGCAAATAAGGGTATGAAAGCAGAGACATAGGGCTATTAAACTATAAGAGAGGAAGCCAAGATCTGGACCCAGGCAGTGTGGCTTCAAAGTCGATGCTTCTAACCACATTGTGTACTGCCAGCAAGCACGCAGGGAAAAGAAACAATTGCTTGAAGATGAGAGTGACTTTACTCCCTTGTCAGTAGCCTGATAAAAGGCTCCAACAAATCCCAAATAGAGGGAATTGGGGAGAAATACATCACATCAACAGGGGGTGACTATTTATTCAAAAGGAAAGGTCCAACAATATAGCGTAGAAAAAGTGAGACTTTCTGTTACAACAAATGCTCAAATAGTTTGGCTCTTTTTGGCTTAAGGTTAAATATCCAACCCCACTGAAAGGTTCAGTAAGAGTCTGTTAAGTAATAAGTCGCAAAGGTCCCAGATTCCTTTCACACTTCATTAGGTCTCTTATGAAACCTTGCATTAATGATTGGGCAAAATCTGAGAAGAAGATCATCACATGGAAGAAAACAGAGTTTTGTGGAGTATGTGCATCCGATGTAGAAAGTCAAAAAGTCAAAAGGACAGAGTGTTTTTCAAAAGCTTAAAAAGCAGATGTTCAACAGTTAAATTTTAACACTGTCAGAAAATGAGGAATCAAGAAAACAGGGGAAGAGAATGCATTGTCCAATTGGGTATGAGAAAAGGGTAAAGAATCTTGCTTATTACAAAATATTTTAAAATGTGGAATAAAACTAAATAGTAGCAATACAGTAGTCCCCCCTTAACCATGGTTTCACTTTCTGCTGTTTCAATGACAAGGGGTCTACCTCCCGCGGTCCAAAAATATTAAATTGAAAATTGCAGAAGCAAAGAATTCACAAGTTTTAAATTGCACACTGTTCTGGACAGCGTGATGAATTCTCAAGTGGTCCTGCACCAGACGTGAAGCATCCTTTGTCCAGCACATCCACGCTGTGTACACCCACCATTGGTCACTCGTAAGCATCTCGGTTACCAGCCTGACCGTTGGAGTATCCCAGTGCTAGTGTTCCTTTAACCCTTATTATACTTAATAATGGCCCCAAGAGGCAAGGGAGTGATGCTGGCAATATGAATATGCTAAAGAGAAGCTTTTACTTAAAATGCTTCCTTTAAGTAAGGGGTGGGGAATGTCCGGCTTGCTGGCCATATAAGATCCGAGAAATCATTTGGTCTGGCCCTATCAAGGCATTAGGGATGAGTTAATTAAATCTTTGACCAAATATAGCAGGCTTTTTTTTTTCTAGCAAGATTTTTTAATTAACAAAACAATATTTTCCAAGACAGCTCATTCCTCAACATAAACTTATGGAAACTCCTGGAGGCCTGTTGCACGAAAATTCATGCACTGGAGGGGAGGGTCCCTCAGTCTGGCCTGCGCCCTCTCCCAGTCTGGGAGCCCTCAGGGGATGTCCAACTGATGGGAGCGGGCCTAAGCCTCAGTCTGGCCTCCCTCTGCAGGAGGCAATCAGGCAGACTGGTCAGGGGATATGAGCAGCTGGCCCTGCCTCCCCGAATCGCCCTTCTGCTGCTGCTGGTTGCCAATGCCCCCAGATAGCCATCCCCTCCCTCTGCCCACTGGCACGTGCCTTGGCTGGCCTAGCACCGCCTGCTCGCCGGTCCCCAACCCCCCCCCCTGCCCACGGGGGACCAGTTGTTCTGCTGTTCAGTCGATTTGCATATTATGCTTTTATTATATAGGATAGGATAATGACACAGCTTATGAGTTAATGTAGGCTAATTTTTAAATTGATAATTTTATCTGGCCCTTAAATGATGTTATAAATACCCAAATGACCCTTGGCAGGAAAAGATTCCCCACCCCTGCTTTAAGTGAAAGGGTTGGTACAGTACAGTAAGCTATTTTGAAAGAGAGAGAGATGGACCACATTTGCATAACATTTATTATAGTATATTGTTACAATCATTCTATTTTATTATTTGGTATTGTGTTAATCTCTTACCGTGCCTTATTTATCATAGGTATATATGTGTGGTAGACAGACTTGGGCAGAGCAAGGATGGGCCAGGTATAGAACGTCACCAGGGTAGAAAGCCCCAGGTACCTAGCAAAGGACAACTGTAGGGCAGGACTTCATCCCAAGGTGACCTTTCCTCCCCTAGCATATCACTGGAAGGTCATGCCATTTAGGCCCCCTGACCTTTCCTCCCTAAAGATAACTTTCACCCCTCTGTTGTATTTCAGCTCTAGGCCCAGAAAGCAGCAAAACCAGACAAGCAACACCAAGGCTGACCTCAGGACCAGTTGCATTGGATAATGACCCCCCTGCCCTGGCTCTGACCCAACAGTGGAAACCTAGACCCTGAAAGGACACACCTGGAAAGCTGCTGAATATTGTATTGAGATCTTCCCCTGGGACCTCCCCTAAAATCTCCACCTTAAAACCCTTAGGACGGAGGACCCAGTGTGCTCTCCTTCTTGGGAGCATGCAGGTGCATATCCCTTTCCCCCTCCTAACCCCTCCCCCCCAGGTGAGTCACCATTACCTTCCTCACTTCCAAGCTGCAAGGGCCCTTTCCTTTACCTCTATAATTTTTTTCCTAAGCCCATTTCTTCTACACATTATTTCTACCTCTGTGATTTTCTAAGTAAATGTTCACTTATAGTTTGAGTCTTGATTCTGAATTCTTTCCTAACCAGAACTCAAGTATTGAGGTTGCTGAACCCAGGTCCAGTCTGATCCCACCAGTGTGGTGCTGTTTCCGAGGACAACAACATATGTATTAAAAAAACAACCAAAAACAAACCAAGAATATATAGGTTCAGTACTATTTGAGGTTTCAGGTATCCACTGAGGGTCTTAGAACATATTCCCCACAGGTAAGCAGGGACTAATATACTAAAATACAGCCATAGGGTCTTGAATAAAACATTATTGTGAAAAAAAGTTGAGCTCTACAGATTGCTTTTTACCAAACTTGTCTTATTATTATTTGTCTTTGAAGGCCCAAGACCTGGTTCTGCCACTTCCTAGTAATGCTCTCAAGCTTGCATATTTCTTCCAAGATTCAGTTTCTTCATCTATAACATGGAAATAATAAACACTTACCTTCTACAATTACTGTGAGCCTTACATTAAATGACATACTGCCACCTACACACAGATGAAATGTGTTTATAATATGTAAAAATTATTGGTATATCCTATGAAAAGATTATTGTATATTAAACTTTGTGTGTTAAAAATAGAACCATATAAAATGTCACATAGGCATGCAGCCTTAAAAAATCAACTTTATTCATAATTATACCCACAAATTTTAGTAAATTTACCACATAACAATTGTGTTAAAAATCAGAAAATCTTATGACTCAGTAGTGTAGATTTTGGAGGGAAAAATTCCACTTTAATTTATGGGAATGCTTTATAAATCGTAAAGTACTAAACAATACTAACTGTGTTTTCATTGTACTATCATCCTGTTGGCTTCTAGAAGAACTGGAGATGTCATCAAATTAAAATCACTCAACACATTAAACTACAAATTTTTATTCACAGGAATTCAATATGAAATTTACTTATAAAGGGAAGTCAACTTTCTAAGAAGTTACAACAACATAAATAATAGACATTAAGTCAACAAAGATAACAAACAAAATTTTTAGAATTGTTCCCACAATTTCATCTTCCAGACTTGTGGGGGTAGTAGTAGAAATTAATATCCAGTTTCTAGATGTCATATCCAGAATGATCCTGCTTCCTAGAGGAAAAAAGAGAGAGGTAGCCTCAATTGAACACATTTATAATTCTGATTTTTTTAAAAACTAAGTCTAATATTTGCACTGTAAAAAAATAGTGATGAGGAATCATCTTTTAGGCAAGACTCGGCATATTTGTAACCAACCAAAGAACTAAAATGTTTTACTCCTTAATGAATTAAAATATCTTTCATGCACTCATTTTGGCTACTTTATGTCATAATCATAGATTTTTCTATATCCCAAACTTGCCTCTCTTTCTCAAAGAAACAGCTCAACCTCTTTGTAACGTATATAAATGTCTAATCCCTCCTGTATACATAAAACTAATATTGTATGTCAACTATAATTGAAAAGTAAATGTTTTAAAAAAGAAACTAGCCCAGCCCGTGTGGCTCAGTAGTTGAGCATGGACCTATGAACCAGGAGGTCACAGTTTGATTCCCAGTCGGAGCATATGCCTGGGTTGCAGGCTCAATCCCAGTGAAAGGTGTGCAGGAGGCAGCCAATCAATGATTCTCTCTCATCATTGAAGTTTCTATCTCTCTCTCCCTCTCCCTTCCTCTCTGAAATCAATAAAAATATATTTAATTTTTAAAAAGAAACTAAACAGCTCAAGGAACTATCAAAATAACTTCTTTTTTTATGTTATCAGTATTTATAAAGTCTTATCTGCTAAGTCATTTACATTATTTTACAATGGTATCGGTGAAACTGTCATTCTTCCAACCCATAATATAGTAGGTATTACCAGGAAATGAAAATTGGAAAACATGGAAAAAGGCAGGTAAAAACATTTTTTTTTAGTTAAAAAAAAATGAAACACCAAGCCCTGGCCAGTGTTGCTCAGTAGTTGGACCATCAGATGAGAACCAAAGGGTCTCAGTTTCAATTCCCAAAAGTATGTACCTGGGTTGCAGGTTCTACCTCTACCGTGGGTAGGGCGCAGTCAGGGCATGTGCGGGAAGCAGCCTATCAATTGTCTCTCTCACATTGATGTCTTTCTCTCTCTCTGTCTCTCTCTCTTTCATCCTCCCTCCCTCCCTTCCACTCTCTCTAGAAAATCAATGGAAAAAATATCCTCAGGTGAGGATCAACAAAATAAAAAATCAAACAACAAAAGGTCTTTTTCATTATCTTGATTTTTTCCCCTCAAGATCCTCTGACTCATATTCTGGTCATTTAATATGATATCAATCACTTAATTTCCTCCACATTTCAGTGTTAATCAAACAGTTTAAAAATAGCTGGGATTTTAAAAAGTATAATAGAATTTGTAAAGTGTAAATTTGTGGTCGGGTTAACATACTATTGGAGCATTTTACCAAATGTCAGTCAGGTAGGGAGGTTAGGGTTAAGGTTAGGGTTAGGGTTAGGGTTAGGGTTAGGGTTAACTCCTTTTTCAGGAATGCAAGGTCAACTAAGGAATTTTCAGACGCTTACAACAAAGTTTCTTTTTTTTTTTAAAAAAAATATATTTTATTGATATTTTACAGAGAGGAAGGGAGAGGAATAGAGAGTTAGAAACATCGATCAGCTGCCTCCTGCACACCCCCTACTGGGGATGTGCCCGCAACCAAGGTACATGCCCTTGACTGGAATCGAACCTGGGACCCTTCAGTCCACAGGCCGTCGCTCTATCCACTGAGCCAAACCGGTCAGGGCTCAAAGTTTCTTATAGACACTCAACTTGAAATGAACATCAGTACTCTTAAAAAGTGGCGAGTTTGGGTTAGTGCTATTTTCACTCAAAAGCAAAAATGCAGGTTGAGTTTTAAGAGAGGAGAAAAAGAGGGGAAGGTAGATGAGATTTATGCAAGTGTCATTATCTCCCACTTTTAGCAATCTTGATTAATTTCTGTAATAAATAGCCTCATTCCTAAAGGAAGAAATAATGTGCCTCAAATTACACAGCAATGACTAGCAAAGTAAACACCTAGAATTTCCCCCACATTCAACATTTTGCCTATGCTACAGAAACAAGGGGGAAGAATAACACAAGGCTTGCAAAGTGGCTTTCTCTCCTATAAACTCCGCTGCCAGATTGTTTCCTTTGTTTGTGCCCCGAAGGGTACCTTCAATTTCCTCCAACAACAGTAAGAGAGGGACTCAAATAGGAAGTGAGGGAAAGACGAAACAACTGGTAAAGACTGAAAAGTAGAAATCCATTTCTCACCTGACTCAATTCCAGGTTGTGGCAGATAACACAGCTCTTTGGTTTCCTCTCTGTCTGCTCTTGCTAGAACAAAGTGCATTCAGCACAGGTGGTCTCTTAGCAACCTTGGATCCTGGGTCAAAGCACATTAAAAGGTTTTATTGGATCGTGAGCTAGTGTATGAAGCTGAGGGGCGGGGAGCCTGCATAGAGAAACTCTAAAATTACTCTCAGAGAGGTCAGGACGATGTTGAAGGGTGGACTTTTGATTTCATTTTATCACACAATTGTGTAGCTAAAAACTGCACCTTTAACAGTAGAGTTAAATTGAATTCTAGGATTTTCCTGTCAGGGCAAACATTCACGATACTTTTTAAAACAACAATTCTTCCGGAGGTGGGAGGTGGAGAGAATGGGAGAAATGTTGTATAGTGTACATACTTGTAACTAGTAGATAAATAAATCCTGAAGACCTAATACATAGCACAGTGATTATAGACCAAACAAAAAAAAATACAACACTATTATGAACATTAAACCTTTTAAGAGACTTGATTTAGTTATTTCCAACTCTAGAAGAAATGACAATTACGTGATCCAACAGAGATGTTGGATAATGCTTGTATGGCAATCATATTACAATATAAATGTATCAAGTACAATGTTGCATGTTAAATATAACTCAATAAAAAAATTCCTAAAATTATTTAAAATATTTTTGCTTCAATATCTACCATGACAACAAACTTCTTTGCCTACATAATAGAACATAACTCAGGAAATTGTCTGCTATAAATTCTATAAGTTTTAAGATTTTTATTATTTTATGAGTAAATTAGAAAGTGGAGGAGTGAATTTACTACAAAAAACCAGGCCATGAAATTCAGTCACAAATGGAAGATTTTTTTGTCTAATAAAATGATGATTATTATATGAAATAATAGAAGCACAGCTTAGAAAATTGTTAAAACATTTAAAGATGATTCAAACCAATACCTATGACCCCCCAGCACAATCTTAGGTATGTACCCTGAAGAAATGTATGGCTATCCATACCAGGAAACATATTCAAACATTATTTATAATATCTTCACCCCAAATGCTCATTAGTAGATGATAGATAGATTCATATAATGGATTTTTTTTAAACAATAATGAGCTACAGCTACATACAAAAACAGAGTTGCTTTTTAAAAGCATAATTTGAAAATTTTTAAAAGCTGGGCCTAAAATAAAATACACAGTGTAAGTATAATCATGTAAAGCAGAAAAACAGAATTAAAAGTACATGGTTTCAGAAACAAAATAAGAGAACAAACTGATGGTTTCCAGAGGGGAGAGGTACAGAGAGATAGGCAGAAAAGGAGAAGGCGATTTAAAAGTACATACTTCCAATTATAAAATAAGTCATGGGAACATAATGCATAAGGAATATAGTCATTAATATTGTAATCACTATGTACAGTGACAGGTGTTACTAGATTTATTGTGATGATTACTCTGTAAGGTACATAAAGGTTGAATCACATCTGAAACTAATACAATAGTATATGTGAATTATAATGAAAACTTTTTAAATTAAAAAAAAAATGCAGTTAAGTGCTGCATATATGGGTGGCAACAGTGTAGTGGCAAATTTGTCCAGAAAAGCAAGGCATTGGCTACCACAAATTCAGGATGGTGATGGTAAGTGAAGGGAAAGGCAAAGATGGGGACTTCCAGCAATGCTTCATTTCTTGTCCTGGGTGTGGTTACATTGGCAATCCCTTTTTAACTACTTATTCAACTCTAAATAAAAGTTTCATTTTCTATATGTATGTGAGACTTTACAATAGAAATATTTAAAAAATAAAACAGAAATAACCTACAAATGTGAATGGTGGTCATAACAGTCAAGTTTGGGTGGAATGACTGTGATCTTTTTTTTCTGTTTTTGCTTTTTTCATTTCTCATATTTTTCATTTAAAATAATGTTGCTTAGCTCTGGTCAGTGTGCTCAGTGGTTAGAGTGTGGGCCTGTGCATCAAAGGGTGGCAGGTTGGATTCCCCATCAAGGGTAGTATGTGGGTTTTGGGTTCGCTCCCCACTTCTGGTCTGGGTGCATGGGGAGGGCATCCAGTCAATGTGTCTCATCTCTCTCTCTCTCTTTTCCCTCCCTCCCTTCCACTCTATCTGAAAAGCAATGGAAAAAAATATCCTCAGGTGAGGATCAACAACAAAATAATAAATAAAACAATGTTGCTTATATAACTTTAGAAAACTAAAGAAATTAATCTTCTTTCTTCCTTATATATTTAAAAGTAATATAACCTGATTTTATTTTTGTCAAACCAGTCATTTAACACATGACGATATCCTGGTCTTCTGTAATAAATGCACTCTTTTGCTAAACAACATGTTCTTGTCTCGTTCAAAATACTCATGAGAAACAGGAATGTGCTTGATTCCTGTTTGGTTCTTCTCCATGATGTCAGATCTGTTTATAGATCTAAATCATTGGAAGGACACAAATTAGTATCATCACAAGTCCACAAACACACTCAGATTCTACTGTGGGTCAAGTGAGGAGGATCTCAGTAGGTCGATTTACATTAGCTAGAAGCTTAGTAACCAAGTGTTTCTTCTCTGAGATTGCAGGGACATTCTTTTGGGAGAAAACTATTTAACAACAGCATATTTTAGGGAAAAATTTTGTTATTGAATAAAACATACACCAAAAATATAAATAAATTTCAAACAAGTGAAGTATCCTAGAACATGTATAGTGTGACTAGCTCAAGACCTCGGTCCTATCTTGAATCACAGTATTTAAAAATCACAGTTAAAATATAATATCACCTCCAATTTCTAATATAAGACATTGTAGGTTGTTTTGGGCCAGATATATTTCATAATCTCAGATGATTGCAAATAATTTCCCTTCCCATTTGTATGCCTCTACCTACCTTTTTTCTCCTATTTCCAGAAGATACTGGGAATAAATTTATTATTTTATAGAATGTTGTACTGAAAATAAAACGAGTACTCTCTTATCTAGTTTTTAAAACTTATCTTTATTTTTTCTTTTGATTCCATCAAGATTCCAAATAATCTAATTCAAATTGAACTGTTCATTGTTTATTGAATGGTTGAACAGTGGTATCCCACAAAGTAAGTTAGACAAACAGAGAGTAGTGGCAACCTTTGGTCTCTGGGAGTTAAACTTCATTGTATTCTCTGTTCTTCACCCTGACATCAGCTTGTAGGGTCTTGATTAAAACCTTTACAATCATATTTTTATATAAAATAGGGTTTCTAAAATCAACTCTGACTCCTGAAACCATAAGAAGAATGTGTTGGGGCCCAGCCTGCATGGCTCAGAGGTTAAGCATCTACCTATGAACCAGGAGGTCATGGTTCGATTCCTGGTCAGGGCATATGCCCTGGTTGCAGGCTCAATCCCCAGTGGGGGGTGTGCAGGAGGCAGCTGATCAATGATTCCCTCTCATCATTGATGTTTCTATCTTTCTCTTCCTCTCTAATATATATATATATATATTTCTTTCTGTCTTTCTTTCTTTCAAGAAGAAGAGTGTGTTAGTTAAATGGCTAGGTCCCCTGGCAAAAACAAAACAATGCAAAACAACAATCTCATCTATTATATAAAAGTAGAGGCCCAGTGCACCAATTCGTGCACAGGTAGGGTCCAGGAGAGGGGCCGAGGGCGGTTGGCCGGCGGCCCTGCCCCCGATCGGGGTGTTGGGGGCTGATTGGAGGTGGGGCTGGCCAGGGGGAGAGGTTGTGGGAGGGCTCCAGGACGTGCCCCCTGGTGGTCAGTGCACGTCATAGCAAGTGGTTGAGTGGCCTTAGCATATCATTAGCATATTATGCTTTGATTGGTTGAATGGACAACCAGACACTTAGCATATTAGGCTTTTATTATATAGTATTATTCCTACTAATTATTTCCACTGAGACAGTGGTTCTCAACCTTCTGGCCCTTTAAATACAGTTCCTCATGTTGTGACCCAACCAAAAAATTATTTTCGTTGCTACTTCATAACTGTAACGTTGCTACTGTTATGAATCGTAATGTAAATATCTGATACGCAGGATGGTCTTAGGCGACCCCTGTGAAAGGGTCGTTCGACTGCCAAAGGGGTCGCGACCCACAGGTTGAGAACCACTGCACTAAGACATCACCCCTTTCTCAAATTTTCTTCTATTATTTCCCATATTAAGTGTGGATTCTTGGTCAAGACAAAGAACAGAACATACTTTGTAAAGTCTTTTTCAACTAAAAGAAAAACACTTTTCATTGAATTCAAGTTTATAATCTTAAACATGAGTCACATTTCAAAAATATTTTCCTTTTTGACAAAAATGTGCTTATCCTACTTGTTTCCATTAATATCTAATAGTCAAGATAATATTGACAGAAGTTCCCCAGAGACATATGTTAAAAAAAAATGACACATAATTGAAATCTGTCCATTTCTGCTTAGCAGGTCCCTTAAGTATAATAATGACTCTTTGTTGAGGCCATGTGCCAGGCCATGCTATGCTCTATCAGGACATGGAGCAGCCACCCAGGCTACTCAGTATTCCAAGTTGGAGCCTGGATACTACTAACTTCTCCAGTCCCCAGATGCCACCTTCTTTCAACTACACGGATTTACTAATGTTTTCCAATTAAAAGTCCCGTTTGAAAAGATCTGTATTCCAACGGAAACCGACTGTACTGAAATGGAAATATCCACATGTAATTATTAACGGCCACTCTCTTTCTTTGATCCTGGCTCTTTGCAAAAGTGAACCACTGGTTGAACAGTAGGGTGGACAGTCTTGCAGTTATTCTCTGGGCCTGATGACCCTGGTTTTGCCAGAATATCTTTACAACAGCTGTTGTCAGATTATTCATGTCAAAACAATCTGTTCTTTGTAAATGGGACATTCACAAACCACCACTAGCAACCAGGGTAGCTGAAAGTACAGTTTTTCTTTTTAATCTATTTTTCACCAGCTTTTACTACCTGCGATTTCATTCTTGTTTATTAATTAGTTCATTACCTTCCCACTGATCAACTTATAACTGACAAGTTTCTCCCCTTGATCTCCTTATCATTAGCTGGACAGAGAAATAACAAGAATGCTT